TGCACTTTCTGTCAATGCTGTCCTCAAAGTGAACTCAAGCTGAGTTACCATAAAAGCAATCTTACTGCAGATACCCTGGTGTCCTACTATCACAGTGCTCAAACACAGTGACAAGCTCGTCAAAGGAAGATCAAATGCAGTCAGAGAGTTGGTAGCTATCCCCGTGCTAGCATCAATCTACCCAAGGCACCACAGCTTGAAATTAGTGTGCCCAACAGAAGGCACATATCAGGGCTTCCTGGCGTGTTTGTATAGATCGTGCTGAAGTCCATACTTGTAGGTCTTTGTTGCCGCAATGTCTTTTGTGGACCAAGTTAAAACTAACATGGATAAGCCTGTTTTCACTAAACTCACACACTTATTTGTTGTGAGACCTGCCCTCAGTGCAGGTGACTTTCAGTGAACACCCTTGATAATGGCGTTTGTTTCCTCAAAGAGAAATTCAAACAAATCTAATCTTCAAAGTAAGCAAAAGTAAAAGGTCGCTTTGATCAACCGTCATTTCTTTAGAAGTCTGTTGGGGTTAAGGATTCTTTTTTGGCCTCTCTTTTTTGATGGATCTAGTGAATTAGGGAAGTTACGCACAAGTAAGAAAAATCTTGGTTGTCAGCTTAGTAGATCTTGTGGAACGAACATTTCTTACTTTATCCCTGAAGATTTTAGGGTATGGTTTGGAAAATGCTGTCAAAAGTCTATTTAGCACGTACCAACTGGCAGTTTGCAGTTGGAAGCTTTTTTGGGTTTGACACTAATGTGGCTTTGGCCACTCACAGTGGCTAGAGTGATCTCAAGCTGCAACAATTTTAGTTGGGACTGAATTTAAGAAGTAGGGCCCTTTGAGCTGCTATTTCTCTTTAAAAGAAGCCTAGTTCAGAATGGAGTGCCTACAAGTCTAGGTTGGTTGGGATGCTGAGGAACCACTGTAACCCTAGACTGCGTTGATATAATCCTAACTGGCTCGATATGTCTCTCAGATGCGCTTGGTCATACGCAAGAAGGTGCTGAGGAACCACTGTAACCCTAGACTGCATTGATATAATCCTAACTGGCTCGGTATGTCTCTCAGATGCGCTGGGTCATACGCAAGAAGATCTGTGAGACCAAGGAAGAGAAGCACTTTATACGAAGTACTATGGATATCATTGATCATATCATCAGTTGATCCATAATATTAAGCACGCAGAGCAGGATTAAAGCCTTGACTTGTGTTTAGGCTGTTCTCTGTTGTTCGTGCATAAAAATTTTTTCTGACAGATGAGCGTTAATAGTCACATAATAGTCACACTAATTAAAAAAATACATTTCTGCCCCAACGTGTCTACCTAGAACTAGAAGAATCTGCTCATTGGCCTCCTTGTTTCATTTCTTTGAAATGAGTTCTTGAACAAGATATTTAAATGTTTTTAACAATGTCCTGCTGTTTGCTCTTTTCATCCTGTTTAGTCTTGAGGTGGAGTTGCTCTGTAATCTTTCATAATAAGGATTTTAAATTTATCTAATTCACATTATGGACTGCATTCTGTTCAGGAAGGGGAAATAATGTTTTGTCTTGCAGATGTACCCAATTAGGGTCGTTGTTTTAAAGAGCAGATAATTAGTAGCATTACTGTTAGTGTAAAAACAAACAAACCAACCAAAACAAATTGTAACCTTTAAGAATGAACACAGGTATTCATCTGTGCATGCATGTGTGTGTGTAATATAGCTGACATACCAAGGTGATGAGACATGCAATGCATATGGTTAGATACCTGCTTGTTGCCCACCACATTTCTTTGTGAAATTTTAAGTACTACTTTGCAATTGTTGAGTGAAAATACATCCATTGCACTCCGTTAGAATGCCTTAACCGTGGAACACTGTGTAATGGATGCTCTCAGCAAAACTGCATTTCAGATTTGTTAACTGTCTCAACTATCTGTTCTCAGGTGTCTTTTCTCTCTCTTTCCTCTTTGGTTTTGTTTATGTTTTGGTTTTTTTTTTCTGTAGGCTGCTCTACAAGTGGGTGGTCATGGAGAGAGGTTGCACCAGTGCCGTGAGGTGACACTTTTGACGTATAAGTCTATCCCCATGCAAGTGGATGGTGAACCATGTCGATTGGCTCCCTCTCTCATTCGGATCTCCTTAAGGAACCAAGCCAACATGGTGCAGAAGAGCAAGAGGAGGACATCCATGCCTTTGCTGAATGAGTGAGTCGAATACGTGCATGTCCTAATGGCAGGAGGCCCGTCTGGGGCAGCATATTCAGTCACAGATTTTGCATGTACTGGACTTGCAGCGCATTAAAAGAAAAAAATCAAAAATGCACACCTTCTCTACTTCTTTCCACCGTATTGTAAATACTTACCTGATTTTCTTTTATTCTTTTATCTTCTGGGTTACCCTCTGTCTTGCTTTTAGAAAGGTGTTGTATCTTTCAGTTTTTTATCTAGAGAGGTTTGTGCAGACTCAGCAGTGTGTATCTTGGCTTCTGACAGTTCTGCATATGTATGCTATTTGCCCTGGAAGTTCTTTTGATTCATTTCTGAAACTTATTGGTCTGCTTTAATAGGCTCCATTGGAGACCCTGTGACAAATTGCCACAATCAAGACTCAGGACATCCTGTAGTCTGTGTTGCGGGAGCATGCTGCCTGGCACTGTTTATGGAGAAGGACCTGAAGGTCCAGCAAGGGCTGTTTGTACTTTGTAGGGAATCATTCTCCAGTATAAAAACCCAAATGAGGAATGAGTATTATTTCCGTCTGAACATGAGGAGGAACTTCTTCTCTCTGAGGGTGACGGAGCACTGGAACAGGCTGCCCAGGGAGGTTGTGGATTCTCCTTCTCTGGAGATATTCAAGACCCTCCTGGACAAGGTCCTGTGCAGCCTACTGTAGGTGACCCTGCTTCGGCGGGGGGGTATTCTGTGATTCTGTGATTCTGTAAAGATGAATAGGGAAAAGCTAAGGTAATTGGAAACCAGGAACACGTGAAGAAGAAAACAGACAGGACTAACATTCCTTTTCATGATTAAACCTTATTTGTAAGCATTGCAGAAATATTTTAATAGAAAAAAACCCTAAATATTCAATTTTGACCTATGAAAATGTCCATCTGATAAAATAATTCAGATATTGTAGAGCTGATTATTGTACTTCCTATGTAGATCTTTACTGCTGCTAAAATGAGTGACATAGTAAGTGCCTTTGCTGTTTTTCATCAAGTACTCTTAATGTGAAGCAAAACAGTCTGTTCCTTCTACAAACATACCAAGCTGAAGGCCTAAAGTTGTCAAGGATACACATTTCATTCAAGCATCCATGCACTGATGTTTTAATTTTTCTGGGGAGGTGTGTGTGGGATCTGGCTGTTGCAGCTGTAATGGTGAGGCAAGGTTGATGAAGAGATGTAATATCTTTCATTAGACTAACTCATATAACTGGAAAAAACAGACAAGGTCTCGGGCACAGCTTTTCTCTCAGGTATCTTAAAGGTTGGCTATGTCTTTCAACTGTATTTTCTAGTGGAAGATATTGCTTCACTTCAGCCTTTGAGTCTTGTGCTTTACAACTTCTTGTCATCTGCTGGTTGTCAATCTGTTCATGTAATCAAAGCCTCTGTGGTTACTTTCAGCATCTTCCTGTTCAATTTAGCAGTCTGCGTTCTCTTACCAAGACTAATGCTTTAAGCTTCAGTAGAAGACCACATCTGTAATGTGTAATTCCTATTTGCCTGGAAAATTTGTCTCTCTTGAGCGGCGCAGAATAGCAGGCTCTTGCCTGTGGACAGCGATGCCTGGTTTCATCCAGTCACAACAGCTCAATCACTTGTGAAAGCTACAGTTCAGCAGAGAGCAATCCTGGGGCATCTTTTGTTACAGAAGGAGGCTAATGCAAATGTAAAATTAAAATTCCTGGTATTTCAATCTGATAATTAGCATGGTTAGGCTGGGAGTTTGAGATCTGAGTTTAAACTATGGTAGGGAAATACAGATTCATAGTATATGCCAGTTGTCAAGTGGATCATCTTTGTGGTTTAGCTTGATTTCAGTGTGCTGTGGTAGACTGCGTTGCTGTCGGAGTCCTTTGATCTGGCTGAGGTATTTGTCTGCAGACCTGTGGTTTCGGAAAATACAAACGATCTCTCAGGGACTCTAGTCTCAGCCTCATGTATCAGAAGCGGTGTGTGTATGTATTTATGTCTATATCTATATATATCTCTGTGTGTATGCACTTTGCTCTCAAGTGTTGCAGGGGAACGAGGAGTTGAATCTCCTGGTGTGGTAAAAGGTAAATGGCACGATAAAGGTTAAACATTTAGCACATAATATTGTAAGAAGTTCGTTCACTATGATGCTGATTTGCAGTATTTCCCAAGAGAGAAAATTTTCAATTAAATATGTTTATCTACATTTCTTAGCTTGCGATCTGGAATATATCTCCCTATTCCACTGAAATCTCTTAGAAAGTCTTATATTTGATTGAACACAATAGATTGTTCTCTTATGACTGTTATCTGAATGTTAGATATGTGAGATAAGCGGGTCTGGAGCTGTCCCACTAATTGTTAGGCAGCTATTCTTGAGCTCCTTGCCAGGAGAGTGATGAAAAAATTGTCTTGCGTCACAGTAATGCAGAATTGCTATTATGGTCTGCTTTGATATTATTGCCAGATAAGGAGAGCAGTAGGAATGCTCTTCGGATTTTTAGATACTCCAATGTCGTAAGTAGAAAAAGACTTAATTTGTTGAACTCTTACACTATGTTTCCGTTTTCTTACCCTGTTCTCCTTTGTTCTGGAGGTTTGAAGGAGAGCAAGTTCAGAGAGGATAGTGAGTTTTTTGTTTCCCTTGTGGGTGCACAAAAGTTTCCAGGGAATCATAGTATCTTAAAATTGAAGAGCCCATGTGTAACGTAGCTGAGTGAGAATAACAGAGATTTCATGCCGCTCTCCCTTGAGAGTGGGTGGGCTTTAGAAACGTGTTTCTCTTATGACTGTAAGAGTTGCCCATCTTCCCGATTTGTAACTATTCTTCTTAAAAACCTGTAGATTCTCTGGGAGGACACCTGTATACGAGAAAAAGGGGTATGACCTTTTCTGACCTGTTTTTTCCCCTCCATTTTCCCACTATTGTGCTTGCAGAAACTTCTAATGGCATGTAAACTGCCTCATGCGGTTCTACACAGACCTTCAAGGTAGAAACTCCTATATGTAGAGAGTCCTTGTGTTATCTGTTACTGAATAATCTGCCTTTTTCAAGGTGTGGGGAAAATTCAGCAGCACTTTTGACAGTGTGAAAGTTCCTTGTCTTTTAATTTGGAGGGGGAGAATAAAAGGTTGGCCATGGAATCAAATCCAAGTTATTAAGGAACAAGTAATTATAATGTTCTGCATTTTATCATAGCTGGATGAATTAGGCAATTAATATTTTATTCAGTTATTTTATCTTTCAGTGCTGAATTGCCTACACATTTCTCAGTATATTAATTGTCCCAAATTGTTCATGGACTAGTTGCTGCAACTGGTGATCTCTCTTCTTACTGTTTATCAAGCATTCATGTTTTTTAATATTTCCTTTTGGAAAGTTAAGCTGTTTTGATGTGACATACAGATTATATGAGTACTCTAGAGTAGGTGAAGATGACCTGTTCGTGGTTTGTACTTCTCTGATAACTTTAAAATTTTGAGTTGAAGCATAGTGGAGGAAAGATGTTACTTGGTGAATACGGTTACAGTGCTGCTTCTCATTTGTTTCTCGTGGAGGCTGTCCAAACATGAAAGGCAGGCATCATCTCTTTCTCCTCCTACAATGCATTACTCTGCAGTGGGGATAAGTAACAATCCAATGAGATGCTTGAAGCCAGAAGCAACTTTTTAGGTGTAAAGAATATACAGGACAAGGTGATGCTGTTCACACTTGGTTACGGATTGAAACAAGGCAGATAGTGGGGTTGTGGGGAAAAAAAAGATGAGTTTCTTCTCTTGTAATATGCCTCTTCTGTTTGTACCAGTGAAAGCAGATTTTTTCTACAGCCAGATCAGCAGACTCAGTTTTTCTGCTAAAGTGATTTATGTTTTTATTCTCCTTCCCTTGAAAGTCTTGCTGGCTAAGTTCGTGTTCCTGTTCTCCACTGTTGATCCTGAGACAACATATAGCTTGGTTTTCTGTGACCAAGTCAAGAATGTGGCTCTCATGAGCTATAAGCAAAATGTATGTGGAATTAGAAGAGAAGCTGTGGCTCGATTTTTCAGGAGTAATTTTCCGATTAGAAGCTACACTTTAGTACGCTGCTCAGTAAGTCTTAGTTAATGATTACTTTCTGAACCTCAAAAGCCAGTATTTTGCTTTCACTGGATTTTAGTTTGGGTTGAGGAAGACTGTCCTGCGTAACGGAAGAGAAAGAAGAGGGAAGAGCTTATACATAAAACATATTTCATACACAAATGGATCATTGGAGTATAAACACTAAAAGAGAGTCAGTCTTGGGAGTTGCTCTATATAAAATGCATGTTTTCCTGAGGTAAAATTTGAAACTTTAACTGAAGTTGACCAACCTTTGGAGACAATTCCATCCATTCAGATCTTGGCTTTGGTGCTTGTTTGCATTTCTGGACCCGCTTCCAAAGTCTGCTGCCTTGAATTTTTTCAGTGCCTGTGGAACAAATCTTGGGGCTCCTTGTCTTCATAGTATAGCCATGTACCTAGCTTGTCATTGGTCCTCCTCAGTCATGTCTTCAGGAAGCTCCTATGTGCCATGGAGCAGTGATTTTCTCCATTTGCATGTCTTCTGTTGCTCTTCGCTTCCTAATGTGAACTTGGAGCTCTGCATGTCTCTTCATTCAACTTTTATGTGACATGTGCCTTTTGTTTCTGTTTAAATGTTGTATGTCTTTTTCTTTCTTCCACTCTTTCTCTCTTTCTCTCTCTTTCTGCCTCGCCTTTTTCCTTGTCTGTCCACACTGTGTGCCGCCTTTCTCCCGGCCACTCATTTCCTGCTGCCTGTAGTATCCATAAAGTGCAGTCTGCTGACCTGAGGAGAGTCTCGGCTCCCCCCGATTCCTTCACTGTGTGAGTATCTGGCTTTTTTCTACTTTCAGAGTTCCACAGTTTTTTGCTGTTACCCTGTGTGTCAGTCAAACAGGAGAGAGGCAGTCAAATCCAGTGGCAAATGGGAGCTCAGGTGATGGCATGGCAGGCGCAGGGACGTG